GCGATGACTGTGCCGAAAGTTAGTGCTAGCCAGAAACAGGTTGTGGTCTGTGCACAGTTGCAGTAGACGTCCCCGTTATCTGTCCTGCGACTAACAAGTCCCCATCGGTCACCTAAACGATTCTCTTCTGTGCCTAGACGCACGACCTGAGCATTCAAGTCTCCGGCTAGTACTACAATATCTGTCGAACGCACTTTCTGGAGAAGAACAGATAACTGGTGGTAAAACTCATCCTTGATTGCATCCGGGCTGCAATCTGTCGGGGCATAGGCGGAGATGACGAAAAGACATCGTTTCTCACGCCGATTTCTTCTCACTTTGATGGAACTCTCTAATCTAACAGCACATAACCGACTGTTAATGGGGATCCAGTCGACTAGTGCTGCCTCAGCTCTAGCGCTTAGTGCGATACCAACGCCTGCAAGACCAGACGAAGATGCCACAGGGTCCCCGGATAAGCGCACGTAAAACAAGCTTTTTGAAGTGACAGATGTAGAGCGAATTCGTAGTACTTCGCTAGAGTCTTGAATACGGGTCTCGGATAGACAACAAACATCAATATTAAGACTTTCCAAAGACATAGCCAGCCTTATCTGTTGACCAACCTGCATAAGTGTGCGAACGTTGAAGGCAGCCAGTTTGAATGGTGCACGTGGTTTCAGAAAAACTGCTTCAGTACTCATATTCGATGGTAACATACAACTTTCAACCGGACAGTGACTCGAGAACGTTTAGATACAGTCGAATTTTCACCAAAGCCGAGTCGCTGTATAAGTATAAAAGAGGGTGAATAATGTGGTAAATAATAATAATAATAATAATAACGACAATAATAGTAATAATAATAGTATTAATAATGACAATAATAGTAATGATAATTATTTGAATCGACTGATTGTTTTTCGGAGCTAAGGGCTAATTCAAACAATATTAATAGGAGAAATGGAATACAAATAGCTGCCCCATGGCAACTAATAATTAATAAGTAAACATGATTACCTTTTTGCAATTTGATATATCTATGCCATAGTAACTAATTGAGAGATAATACGTTCACTGATTCAAATTCGATATCTTATCTGAATCTGTTAAACAGTTGACTGGAACATTAAAAATAACACACACCTTCAATTACATATACATTCCTCTTTTATTTTGTTTACTTATCTTATTTATCTTCACAGAATGCAGGCTGTGGCATTTTTGATTCATTTCATATCTAAAAATTATCTGTTTTCTTAATATACACAGACCGAAGTCAATATTTAGTTGAATGAAATTTCTTCTCACATCACTTGCGTATAAACACATTCTGTTGTCTTAACACGTTTTTGGTTCCATGACACATACCTTGTCCTTATGTGTACAAAAACAATTTGTCGTAACCTTGAATTTACCTTGGTAATCCTCAAGTCATTCTATGGCCTAGGATAATACGACAATTTCTTATTCTTTCTCTCCCCTTGATTATTTTCAAATGAACTTTTATTTGGTTGACCTTTATTATTTTTCATATTATTTTTATATAAACATGTCCCTTACACATTAATGCAAATACCTATTTATAAAAAATCCTTCACGTTGATTGGATGACTTATTCAGTATACAGTAAACCGAAGAACCATGTACCTATTTATATTCGATAATTTTGTTGTTTGATTATATTTTCTTTGAAAAAGCTTGGACCAGATTGCCAGACGAAACGTTGGATTTACTTAAAATTCATTCGCTGAGATTTTACAAATATATTTTTCTTTTTAATGTTTCAAATTAACTCGGCGCCGAAATATTTTGAAACTATTCGTTCAACTTTAGACGAAAGTTCTTATTCATTAGAATTCTGGTTAACATAAATAAAAATCGATCGAGAAAGTTAAGGGGAAAAGAAGGATTAGTTGTAATAGGTTGCGTTTCTTCAGCCGGGCTTACCAATATTGGATTGTGGTCTACTATTATATTAGTACTGCGCTAATAATTGACCTTATCCTAAAATTGTAGACTTGTCATGATGTACCTGCCTTATCTATGAGACCTTACGTAGAAGTCATACCATCGTCTACACTGACCCATCGTAACGCAACAATCACCAATACATGATGTAGAACAAGCTTAGGCTAGAGACAGAACAATATATTTAATATGAATAAAAGATATAAGATAACGTTCAACAAGGACCACGCCTGCAAGGCTGGGCCATGCCATTCATTCAACTCCAGTCAATCCAATTCATTGTCTCAGCGTTATCCATCGTTGAGTTTTTCTCTGCGTTAAATATGGAATATCTATTTCCTCAATTGTCTCGTGTTAGGGCCCAATGCCACCACAGACTCACCAAGCTGAAGGTGCTCGATCATGCATCCGTACTAGATCACGAGTGGGAACGCCGTGCTCAGCAACCCCTGCAATCGCTAGCCAGATTAGATCAGTCGATCCACGGTATATTGATAGCCTATCAAATATATCTCGGAACCTCCTCGCTTCTGTCTTTTGATTTCACTTGGTGGATACGATTCATATTGGATGTTACTGGTTAAAGCGTTGTCAAACTCTAAATACATGTGGCATCTTCAAATCTGTCAAATCTGTTGGTTTCTAATGATTATTTGAGATTTAACTTTGTTGTTTTCATCGGGTATTCTAATTTGAAAAGTTTATTCAGTTTCGTCTACTAATAGTGGTGTTGTACTATATGGTCTATATCAGTTGGATTATGATTCATGGAGAACTACGTAGCAGTATTTTTTAGTCAAAATGGGAGACAGGAAAGATCAGATACACACAGATTTATAATTCGGTATTTTAAATGGCACATGATGCGTGAAATATGAAACTATTGATAAATACGAAAATTTACACACGTGGTTCGTTTCCAACACAGTAGCGCTCTATTGCCTTGTGTTGAACTCGATTCACAGATTTATTACAGACTTTTAAATAGAACAGTGTTACAATTTTGGGAATGTAATATCTGTGAAGAACGTCTATCGCATTTTGATGGGTTTAAATAAAAATGTACAGATACCAGACTTTGAAAGAGGTTGATAGGACCGTGAGAACCCTACCTGAGTGATATATAAGGTAATAAGGTAGTGAAATCAAATGTTAGTCAATTAATGAGAATGAATGGTTACATTCTTACTGGATAATGAAGAAAGATCAAGAATATTTGAATACCAATCAGTTAGGAGTGGAGCATTTTCACATCGGTGTGCTGAAAAAAATTTTAACAGTAAAATTCAATTGAAAGTCGGCTCATTTTTTGGGTTTCATGCTTTTATTAAAGACGAACAAGACCCGGATTTTAAAAGGTTTTGTCTGTAACGTTATGAGAACTTCACTCCCATTTGAATGATTAGTTCCAAAACAAATGAGCGCCAAGGTAATCTATAGTACCATAAATAAATGGTATTTCTTAAGAACTCAGCATTTTGAACCCAATTAATTTCAACGTTTCAGCAGACCAGTATAGTCCAAGTTTATAGAAGGGAATGATCGAACATTAGAATTATCAGATGTAAATACTGTCCATAAATTAACTGCGAAATAAACAACTAGTTCAGCCATATTTTTGTGTGCTACTGATGTCGACTGATGGAAGTAGTGTGCATCATAAATCAAAAGTGAAATGTCTGGAGACAAAAGGTAGAGAAAATCAGAAAGAAGAGGACGAGAGCAGAAAGTGATTGGTATGGAAACGAAGGGACAATTAAGTCTGCGACAATTGATGAGTATTTACTGTAAGGTTCCCAGGTTTTATCAAGTTATTCCATAACGTTTTATTAAAATAAATTCGATTGTCCCCACTGGTGTTCTTGTTCACAACATTATCACTAAACGAGGTCATGTTGTAACCTCCGATCATCTGACTCAGAGAAAACACACAAGGGGGTATAAACACTAGTCTTCTGTATTATTCCCTAAAATATTCGGGTAATATAAAAAAGAAACGTAGTGCTTGAGTTCTTCCTGGGACAATGCAGAATGTTTTTGGGAACGCCGAACATAAATAGGTGATGTAGCCAGCGTCGTCTGAGATGCCTCGATCTAGTTGGAAGAAAAAGAGAGAATAAGTTAGGTTCAAAATCATTTCTCAGTATCCTGTACACCAAAATTAGATCCCTCTTAGTCTGAGATAGGACAGAGTAAAGAGGTTTAGCTTTTCAGGCCGCTCTTTGTATGATAAACCCCAGCGTTCTAGAAATGCACGGGTCGCTGCCCTCTGTACTTTTTCTAGGATATTCGGGTCACCTTTTAAACGGGGGCTTGCAGCCTGAACGCAGTTCTCAAACTTAGTCCTCACTAAGGATGTGTATAGTGTGGTGAACATGGTAGTGTCTAACTTAGTGGATGTCCGTTCTAAAGCCCAGAGGGTTCAAAACCCCTTAGCGGCGACCTCCCGGCAATGGGCCGTCGTCTTAAGATCATGACTCACTGTCACCCCTAGATCCTTATGAAATTGGGCTACGGGTAATGGCACATCCCCTATGTTGTAACTATTAACCCTTGAATCCCAAAAGCGCACGGAGACACACTTTTCCGCGTTGATAGACATCAGCCACTATTTAGACCAGTTTATCATCTTATTTAAGTTTGCCTGAAGAGCACATGTGTCTTTGTTATTACTGGCCAGATTTTTACACCATCAGCGTATAATAACATTGGAGACTGTACTATACATAGAAGATCATTAACATACATTATAAAAAGTAAAGGACCTAGGACGGAACCTTGAGGTACCCCATTAAGTACTGGTCTCCAGATGGAGCACTTGGAATTTATTCTTACTTTCTGCCTACAACCTTCTAGGAAATCCTTAATCCATTTTAAAAGAGGTCCAGCAATACCAGGGTTTTTCAACTTCAATAGCAGTCTATTAGGTGACGCCTTGTCAAAAAGGGTAAAACACGAAAGAACACATATAAAATGCTTAAAAATTTTTCGCGGTTAGAGTTCATATCTTTTGGCGTCAATTATCGGAAGTTATAGTGGGGAGATATTTTACAGATTCTGTGAAGCAGGACTTGAAATCCAATTTGATTTTTGCGGTACTGATAGGAACTACTTAAAGCGTTATTCTCCCCAAATAAGCAAGAATGGCACAATAAGGACATTTGTTGTCAACTGATGTTTCTATCATTTGAAGGACGAAAAATATGCACATTTTTTAAAACCGAGAATGCTCTCTCATGACCTTGGTTCTATTTTGTTAAAGTCCAAACTTCTGATAACTTGCTTTTGGAGATCGAATTGAAGCATAATTACCTTCAAGACATTTTAGGATAGTTAGCTGCATTCGGTACTAAAACAACTGTTTCAAACCGGATACTGTTGGATCCATAAGAGTAAATAAATTCCATACTTAGAGAACTACGTCTTAGCTCAAGTCAATTGGTGGCGGTAGTAGACGGTAAGCGGAATGTGCATCAAAATGTTGTCCCAGACGTAGATTTATAAAGTTTTAATTGAACTGGAGGTTTAGGTTATAGTACAATTGTTCTGTTTTTTTTTTTATATTCCAACTTATTCGTAATTATGTCAAAATTGTTCAGGCAGTGTAATAAACGATAATTGCTTATCGAAGTTACTGTCTTCATATTAATTCTTGAGGAAGTCTCAAGCTTCATTTCCACAAGCAACTAACTTTTTAGTACTGATAACTGACTGCTGGGCTGGCAATGATTTTATTGTTCATAGTGTGCATTATGATACACACATCAGAATAGTGCTTTAGTGACTAGGCAGTTGTTGAGACTTATCTTTTCGCTCACTCAGTATTCAGTCTCATGGTGATGTTCCTCGTCGAATTTGCCACTGACGGTACTTTAGAAACTGTTCTTATCAGATTAGATGGTCGTCGTGTAAATCTTTTGCCTAAAGATAAATTTTTCAAACTTAAGTATGACGATAGTAACATTTTACTGTGCGACGATAAGCATCATATGTTCTAGTATTTTGTTTGGTTATCATTGTTCCCGGAGGCTTTCTCATTTTTAGTGACGTCACATAGGTACTACCGTTGTCCGAAAATACTTTTGGGGACTGAAGATAATCCGATTAGTGTCACCATTTTAAGACATCGACTCAATTGGGTTAAAACTGTTCTACAAATTTTGGTCCGGAAACTTTAAACCGTGTATTATTTGAGAACTCTATTTAGGTGAGAATACATACGTGGTCAGTTTGTAATAAAGTATTGTGGTAAGAAATAAACCTACATATGATTAACTTGTCTATCGGTCAGGTTTCCTCGATCGGGGTTGTAAATATAATTGAACTCAGTGGATTGAGATGCTATCAGATATGATTAGTAATGAAAGCTAGTAGTAATCCTTCAGTTTTCTATGTAATCCTTCATAAAAGTGAGGTCAGCTTCCCTGTGAGAAATATTTGTCATTCGTATTTTTAATTGATAGTTTTTAATAGAAGTTATCTTTTTTTGACCACACATTTTAAAGCTTTTCTTCATAATGTTATCACTTTATTTGTATAGTTAATCTTTTTGGTATCAGGATGTGTGTAGCATGAAGCCATGAAACAAGACATTTTTTGAGGTTATATTGACAGTTGTTAAGATTGTTTGTCATTGATTTTATCGTGAGGTTAAATCCTTCATTTGCTAGTTACTCTTAGTGGTCACAAAATCCCCAGCATTAGTATTGTGTGATAATAAGCAATTTTGGACATGGAAAAACCATGATTCTTTCACTTAAAATCTTATAGCAGTTTTTACGAGATCTTCGGAACTAATCCACATCTTGTGGCATGAGGTTATTTGGTGTTCTACCTTTGCTTGTTTGGGCTATTGAATTATCGTGTACAAACTGAATGTCAGTGGGGTCTTCATTCAAACACGGGGAAATCCAGTCATGTTTACATGCCTATGACATCAATAAATTTGACAACATAATGGTTCTCTTTTAAACTATCACATTTTTCCAAGAAGCTAGGTGGTAATAGGATTCGATCTCATCAATCTTGGAGCATCGATTACGTAACGCGTATTACGACTTATTCAGACACTATTAGTTCCATTTGCCATATTTCTCTATAGCATATCATAAAGCTTACTTACTTACCTACTTACGCCTGTTACTCCCAATGGAGCATAGGCCGCCGACCAGCATTCTCCAACCCACTCTGTCCTGGGCCTTCTTTTCTAACTCCATCCAATTCTTGTTCATTTGTCTCATGTCTATCTCCATTTCTCCGCGTAATGTGTTCTTTGGTCTTCCTCTTTTCCTTTGGCCTTGAGGTTTCCATATGAGGGCTTGTCTTGTGACGCAGTTGGGTGCTTTCCTCAATGTGTGTCCTATCCACTTCTAGCGCTTCTTCCTCCGCTGGGATCTGGTCTGTTCTCTCCCACGGTACGTTGTTGCTAATAGTGTCCGGCCAATGGATCTGAAGTATTTTGCGTAGACAACTGTTAATAAACACCTGTATTTTCTGGATGATGGATTTCGTAGTTCTCCAGGTTTCTGCCTCATACATTAGAACTGTGTTGACATTTATATTGAAAATCCTGACCTTGGTGTTGGTTGACAATTACTTTGAGTTCCAGATGTTCCTCAGCTGTAAATATGCTGCTCTTGCTTTGCCGATCCGCGCCTTGACATCTGCATCAGATTCACCGTGTTTATCAGTGATACTATCCAGATATGCAAAGGTTTTGACATCTTCCGAATCTTCTCTGTCAAGTGTGATTTGTTTGGTGCATGTTGTATTGTGTCGGAGAATTTTGCTCTTCCCTTTGTGTATGTTGAAATCTACTGCTGCTTCACTGGTTGTCTTCTGTATTTGTTGTTGCGTGTGCGATAGGAGAGCCAGATCATCTGCGAAGTCCAGATCGTCCAACTGCATCCTATATGTCCATTGTATCCCGCGCTACCCTTCAGATGTTGACGTCTTCATGATTCAGTCGATCACCAGGAGGAAGAGAAAGGGTGAGAGTAAGCAACCTTGCCTGACACCGGTCTTGACTTCGAACGAGTTTGTCAACTGTTCTCCTTGCACGATTTTGCAGTTTAATCCATCATAGGAATTTCGTATGATATTGACTACCTTCTCAGATACGCCATAGTGTCGAAGAAGCCTCCATAGTGTTGTTCTGTCCACGCTATCAAATGCCTTTTCGTAGTCAATGAAGTTGATGTAGAGTGATGAATTCCATTCAATTGATTGTTCCACAATGATCCGTAGAGTTGCGATTTGGTCTGTACACGATCTATCCTTACGGAATCCTGCCTGTTGGTCACGAAGTTGGACGTCTACGCAGTCCTTCATCCTGTTTAACAATACCCTATTGAAGAATTTTCCCGGTATATAAATGGTAATTTACCTAGTGTCAAAACGAGAATTTGTTGACAAAATTTAGACACAAACAATACATTTTCCGACCCTTAAAGAAACATTTCCTGATAGTAATTTGTTATTGGGATTGATTCGAATTTTATAACATTTTATTTTTTCAGTGAGAAAAGTATACTTTAGTATCAAAAACATACGAAGCTCATGGATTTTGGAAAGGAACAACGGATTTCTCCCAGGGTCTATCAATTAGCCCAAATAATTTATCGGGAGTTTGAAGTCATAAAGAAGGTCTATGGCGAATCCGCATACGGTGGATTGGTACCTATTGTTGTCGGTATTCTAGAAGAAATGGACCTCTTGACTGTGGATAAGCAGAAATTAGATCTTGACTTAAATCTTTTGACTGCCGAAAAGAATGATATTTCTGTACAGTTGTGTCGTCAAAAGGAGCTTTACATAGCTGCAAAAAGAGTATGTTTTAATCTAACATATTGTCATTATGGTTGTATATTCAGCATATTCACTGTCTAGAAGATGAGCTGCTTGGTATGAAAAAAGAAACGGACAAGAAATTCGAAGAACTTGAGGAGAATTCGAGACATTATCAACTTCTTGTCAAAAATGCTAATGATCATAGTAAGTAAAGTTTGCTCAGCTGAATTTAATGTTACAATAAATTGTTAACATATGCTTAAAATACTTCTCAAAATCGTGAATGATGGGTTGTTTTCTTATAAAGTACAGAATGTACGCTTTTTGCAATGGAAAGCTAATTTGATAGAAAATACATAATACATATGATCATTAGAAGTTTCGTAAAACGACACCTAAACTATCACAGGACCCAGTAAAATAGACTATTGAAATCTAAGGAGTAAAAGTACTTGAACATTTGGTGGACGGCAATAATTTAGACTGCAGATAATTCCTAAATTTCTCCAGTTGTTTTTTTTCTGAGGACCACGCCTTGATGATTATTTAAGTAAATTTCTCACATGTCACGACTAGCTACAATGATTTGTAGTAGTCATATTATCATCTCTCTTAAAAGACTACTGACTAGTATATAAATGGAGCAGTTGACCATATGATGTTGATGACTATAAGGACGAGTATACTGCGCGGCAGTTCGTTCTCTTTTACTTAACGGCTGCGAAACGTGGCCATTAAGAGTTGAAGATAGTCATAAGCTACTGGTACTTGACCACAGATGCCTTAGAAATATTGCTGGCATCTGCTGGGATCACCGGGTAAGTAATAATGAGGTTAAACGTGGGATATTAGGGAATGATGGTAAATCAGTTGATGAAGTTGTGAATCTTCATCGACTGAGATGGTTGGGCCACGTGTTACGTATGCCTGAACACCGATAACCACGACGCGCAATGCTAACTGGTGTTGGGGATGGTTAGAAGAAAGTTAGGGGCAGCCAAAAATGTGGCATCAGTGCTTGAAGTCACTAACTTCTGATCTGATACATGTTGGTAGATGCAGGCTACTTGGTTGGGGTCCGTGTGACTGTCGTAATCAATGGTTGGAGACTCTGGGTGACATGGCTCAGAATCGACCACAATGGCGTCGGTGTATACACTCTCTGTCTCCCCTTAATCTGTGAGATTAAAATTGCTTTATATCCTCCTTTCTACGAACTAATTCTTTCTTCCTGTATTATATCCTTATATGTATTCTTTTATATATTACTACCATTGAAGTAACTACTTCTATGAATTAAGCGTTCATCTTGTGCTAATGAGGTATGGAAACTTGGACGGATGCACATATATGCCTGGTCCTACGTTGTATCTGACTGATGACTAGAAGGCTAGTAAGCCATAGTTACCAAAAGGTCCATCATATATCTTGATTGAAGCAGATAAATTGATATGTGAACGTATATTTGTAAAGTATCTGTTTCTTCCTTATTTCCGTGTCACTTTTAAAGTTCAACCAATGCTTGTTAACAGTTTTAATAAATTTAAACTCGGCTTTATATTTAGTTTTTCACTCAGTTGTTATAATACTCGGAGAGCTTCCTGAAACTGCCCCAGTCAAACATCGACCAAATAAGTGAAAAATACTGACGGGCGTACTATATTGCTTGATAACGTTATCTTATTTCCCCATAGATACTTATCTATATTTATAAATGATTTGTGCGTGTATTTTCGATTCAGTTGACCACTAAAAGCATCCTGCTCACTGTTGGTCTTCCCACATAAGTACATGGTTTGGGTACGGATATAGAAAGCGTATATATCAGTTTCAGACTGAGATCACGCAACAACACAAAACAGATAATCAGGAGACGGAGTCAGTCAGTCAGTCAGTAACAATTTAGAACTTCGTACGTGCGTACATCAGTTCGAGTTGCCACACCACATTAGCACAGAGATGCAGTTGTCGATTCAAATCCCGTAGTGGTAGAGGTAATAAGAGTATAAGCAGTAATCGGGAAGATTAGGGTTTGGAGGTGTTATTTAAAGAGTATAATCCAGTGAAATAAATTTGGAAAGAGGAAAAAAGGGACACGAAGAATTCAGAAGATTAGAATTTGGGAGAACACAGAGAGTGGATGCCCCTGCGCCATTGCAAACGATTTTGAGCCATGTCATTCAGGGTCTCTAACCATCGGTTGCTATCATCTCGCGGTCCTCAACCAGGTAGTGTACACCTACCAACATGACTCAGTTCACTTGTCAGTGACTTCATGGACTTGTGCCATGTTTTGGTTTGGCCGCCCCTAGCTTTCTTCTAACCTACTCCTATACCACTGAACATAGCACGTCGGGGCAGTCGGTGGTTGGGCATACGTAACACGTGTCCCAGCCATCTCAACTGATGAAGTTTCACTACTTCATCAATTGATTTGCCATCCTTACCTAGTACCCGTTTCCTAACAACTGTGTTACTTACTCGATGGTCCCAGGATATACGAGCAATGTTTCGAAGACACCTATGATCGAATACTAGTAACCTACGGATATCCTCTACTCTTACTGGCCATGTTTCACTGCCATAAAGTAGGACGGGACGAACTGCTGCGCAGTAAACACGTCCTTTGGTTGATAGACGGATATCTCGCCTACGCCATAAATGACGCAAGTTGGCAAAAGCTAGTCGAGCCTTCTGTATCCGTGCTGAGATTTCGTCACACACCAGACCACAAGGGCTGATGAGACTTCCAAGATAAGTGAAGCGGTCGACACACCCAACTACTTCACTCCCTATCACTAGTTCGGGTGTCGATGTAACCCAATCCTGAAGCAACATTTTGCATTTCGAGGGAGAGAATCGCATCCCGAACATGCTTGCATTGTTGCTTAGAGTGGTCAGAAGACTCTGCATTTTGTCAGCGTCTTCACCAAATAAAACTATGTCATCTGCATATTCTAAGTCAACAAGTGAACCTCCTGGTAGAAGTTCAACCGCTGGAAATCTAGACGAGGAAAGTGTTATCTCTAAAAGTACGTCGACCACAAAGTTGAACAAGAATGGGGAGAGTGGACAGCCCTGACGAACACCACTTGAGGTAATCAATTCTGATGACAGTTCGCCATAAGCTCTCACTCTACCAGTTGTGTTCGAGTAGAGAGCCTTTATAAGGTTAATGTACTTCTTTGGTACTCCTTTCAGTGACAAACACTGCCATAGAACCTCACGATCAACGGAGTCGAATGCCGCCTTAAGGTCGAGAAATACTACGATTGTGGGGCGTCTGAACGTGTGTGTGTTCTAGAACCTGATCTCTAATCTGCTCTTCACGAGCTTTAGTTAGGCGTCGAAGTATTATTGAAGCTAATATTTTAGACACTATATTAGTCAAACTGATTCCTCTGTGATTGTCACAAGAGGACTTTTGTTCTTTCTTATAGACTGGCGCAATCAGTGATTGAGACCAGTCAGATGGGATTACGTCCAGTTCCCAAATTCTACCTAAGACCTCGGTTAATCTCATTGCTAATACTGGACCACCATCCTTAAAAATCTCAGGAGTAAACCTGTCAGGGCCTGCTGCTCTCCCTCGTTTCAGATTTCCTATGGCTTTTTCAACTTCGTAAAGGGACGGAGGACCTACATTAACTTGCCATTCAGGTTGACTAGAGATCGTGGGAAACCGAAGTGTGGCTTAAGGCCAGTTGAACTGATCCCTAAAGTGTTCTGCCCATCGATCCAATCTCCTGGATTGAGAATGTATAATATGTCCATTTTTCTCTGAAATTGTTTCGCTAACGGTCGGGTTCCTAATTCCGGTTTCCTTAACGAGTCTGAACAATTGTCTGCTATTACCTATTGCCGCTGCCTTTTCCATCTCTCTTGCTTTCGCTACCCACCACTGTTCGCGATCGTTACGTAGACTTCTTGTCAGCTTGCGCTTAAGCTGACTCCGCTCTTCATTATGTTCAAAGCCAGGTGGAATGAGTTTCCGAGCATCTATCAGTGAGATAGATGCTGCTGAGATCCAGTGTTGCTCCCTAACCTTCTGGTTTACCTTACTAGCAGATATCACTGCTGTATCCACAGCTTTTCGGATATCATTCCATGTTGCCTCGGGGTGGGCATCACATACATGGCTGCCTAACTGTTTTCCTAGTTGTTCCTGAAATATACTCTTAGCTTGACTATCATTAATTAGGCCCTTAAGAGGTTTCCTTGCAGCGTCTTTCCTACGTCCAGTAAGACGCAAGCAAATACGCGCTCGCACTAGAGCATGATCTGAATCTAGGCATGTGCTCCAAAATGAGCGACAGTCTTCTATCGAGCCCCTCCATCGGTGGCTGATAGCGATGTGATCTATTTGGGTTCAATGTTGGGACGAATTAGGGGGTCGCCATGTTAAAAGATGTTTTTCCTTATGCCTAAAGTTAGTATTTGCAAGAAAGAGGCGGTTATCTGAGCATAGCTGCAACAGACGGTCGCCATTATCTGTTCTTTGACCCACGATGCTATAAGATCCACCCAGGTGTCTTTCCCTATCGTTTAGTTTACCTACTTGAGCATTAAAGTCGCCGGCCATTATTACTACATCCGAACGCCTAGCTTTAAGGAGGAGGTCGGAGAGCTTTCTGTAAAACTCATCTTTTACATCATCTGAGCTGCAGTCAGAGGGAGAATAGGCAGAGATGACGAAGAGGCAACGACGAGTGTCCCTATCTTTCCGAGTCCTTATTGTTCCGTTTAGTCGGACAGCGCACAAACGACTGTCTACTGGGATCCAGTCTAAGAGAGCTAGTTCTGCCCTAGGACTCAATGCTATACCTACGCCGGCGAGGCCGCAGAAGCAGAATCTGGGCTTCCAGATACACGAAGTATGAATCGAGTCGATTCTTTATTTTGGCATGGTGAGGTCAAATAGATGACGCTACTCGGATCCTGTATGCGCGTTTCGGAGACGCAGCACACGTCAATGGCGCGGGATTCTAAAGTCCTAGCTAAGGAAGCCTGCTGTCCTATTTGGCATAGTGTTCGTACGTTAAAAGCTCCTACGTGTAGTTTAGAGCGTGGTTTCAGGAGACCAGGAATGGCGTTCCACGTACTCGAATCGTTTGCCCTAGCGGTGCGAGGTGATAAAGAGACGTGAGGAGGGTTAGTCGGGGAGATAAGAGAGGTATTAGGTGTTGTAGGAAGGATTTGAATGTGACCACCTTGGTCTCTTGTGCTGTTACGGGTATGAGGGCTGATGTCACTTCCCGGCTGCCCACACCGTGGAAGGGTATTTCTTGAGGAACCTGAAAAGGAAATTGGATTAGTGTTGGTCTTGACAACCTGGGAGTGTGACCGCAGAGCCCAAGGGACAACTGCTTGAGGCCGGTCGCGCACGGCCTTTTTGTGGAAGGTTTTTGACGTGTTAGCTCCGTTCTTCAAAGGGCCTTACCGCCGGAGACGGAAATCCGTGAGGTAAGGTGAGGTGTAACATTTTTAGGGTCGACCTTCTCTAACCCCACCCCTCCTTGTGGGAAGGCAGCATCGCTGTCATGCTGGTTGTCCGAGGGAAACACCTTACTGCTGTCACACCTCTGTACAGTCAGCAGTACGACTTCGCCCTCAGACCGTGAGTTGCTGCTTTTAGTCTTACCGTTCACCAATCGACCTGCCTGGCATGGTAGAACCTACAGGAACATATGTTCCAGCCAATATAGCTCGGTTGGGTCATCACGACAGGCAAGCCCAACCACCGCGTCAAGGTAGCAGCTTCGATCGACGGAGCGAAGGAAGCAAAGCGAAATGACACACAGTGGGGAAGGCATGTGAACCAGCTCAATTTACCCAAGCGTGAATCAATATTGATTACAGACATGTGGTAGGAAAGGCACATACATACGCTTACATAGAGAACAGTCGAGGCTGATGACCAAATAATTAACAAGGTCAAAGGTGATTTAAGAAGATTGAATAAAGTGGCTTGTCTGGAAGCTAGAATAAGCTATGTGGGCTTTCATAGCACTACGTTATAAATCGTACACAACCAAAAGTTGCTGGAAGTGTCTGGTTAAAATTATGTAGTAATAACGCTTTTAAGATCTCATCTATTATTACAACCCCTAATTAATGTACTCATTGGACTGTAGGGTGTGGTAGTTTAAGGTTATTTCTCCTGGTAATGTCGATCTATCTGTAGCAATTAAATGTATATTAACAGTCTCTTGATGGTACCGCTTGTCAACCTAAGTAATACATTGATATGGTATAAATTATTCAAGTACTATTGATGCATTTTTTCCGCTTCATCAATGAGCTCTTTCAAGTAATTTGATGGACTTTGTTGTTATATTTTCATGTGATATAACGCATCAGTTGATATACTTGACTTTCAACCTGTGGGTCACATATTCGCATTTTAACTCGCTCGGGAACCGACCACTAACCTTCACACAATTAGTTCGGTATTCAAAAGTGAATTCCGATTTATTTTGTGTATTTAAACATATAAACGTTGGTACAAGAAGGCACCAAATGGATATGCACCACACAAATCATTCGATATATGTGAGCGCTGGAATGCTGTTTAGCCTCCCGATTTACATTATTAGCTGTAAAGTTGTTTATATTAGCCTCTGTTGACGTTTCTCCTACTTGATAGTGCGCTGAGGGTGTCGTAGTAGTGTAAGTTTAGTATGCGGTAGATTTTCAGTGGCATTTTGTAGCGTGGCGATTCAAGTCGGTAAATATTTATGTCAGGTCCTTATGTTTATTTTTGTCAATGGTAATCAAATGTGGAATTTTTTCGAAAAGATATAATTTACTCATTAACTCATCATTTTTGTAGGATATTCTCACATCCATTTAAGTTGAGGCCATTTACTATTTTAAAGTTAGCTAATTTTTTCTTAGTGGCGTTTCTGGCTTTTGATATTCTTTACATATATTGGGATCACTGTCCCATTTTACTCGTCAGGCGGTTATCAATGTAAGGTTTAGTACTCATGTGGACTGATCCAAGTTGTTACATATCACATCAGTCTAACAAAAAGGAAACTGACAAGATGAAAAGCTAAAAATGGGACTTCATTTCAACCTCCAAAGGAATCCGAATATGAGAAATATATTTCACAAGGAAGCGGTAAGATGTATGTATGTGCAGAATTATAAATAACACTTGATTTAAAATGTCGAATGAGATAGGGAATGAATTTAACTATGCTACTGCTACGAATTTTGCACTCCTACATGTTATTAGGGTTCATCTTCAGATAATGTGAACTTTTTTAAAATTCAGTATTCCCTGTCTCCTTTAACAGTATTATAAAGCGATGAGGAAATTGTCTGTTTGACGTAAATTCTTATATAGTCGGATCGTACACTAATGGGAATTAGGTTTTCTTCGTTTTATATGAGTATTTTTGTTCTGGTTTATGTGTTATACGTTACATTATTATGCTAATCAGTAATTTTGGTTACATAAAGAAATGATTTTAATGTTCCTATTTTTAGTGTGTAGTTGTGAAGAGGTTTAGTAGATTGACTGTTTTCCTTGCTGTTTGATATTGGTCAAATGGTTAACCTGTTTATATTCTGTTAGTTGTTGTAACGAATTTTTTTCATGTTCAAAGATAAAATCATAATAACTAGAAGTCGGTTCTTTTCATTTGCTACTTTCATTTAAGTACTTGTTATTTTTAAAGAAATATAAATCGATGAATACTGTACAGTAAAAAGCTCATACATTTATATAATAGTTATTTAATTTGTTGTTCAACATTTCTTAATTGATGTTAACCTGAAAAAGCATGATTTATATTCATTTGTTGTTGGTGATGAATAATTTGAAAAGTGGATTGCTTTCAATGGAAGAATTTATTCTTTTATAGTCTCAGTGAATGCTAATTTCTTACTTCTTAGGTAAATTATTTATATGATTTATAACTACTTATTACTTTCTTATTCAGTTTTTAGATTAGAAGAAAGGGAACAAGATCTTAGATCAGAATTATCTGCACAAAATGAAAGATACACTAAATTACTTAAAATTTATGTGGATTATATAGAAACAAACAATTTATCTGTGTCAAACAACGATATTGAATCGGGAACTGTATGCGTTGGTTGTGAAAAAGATACTGAATCAAATGAGCTAGTTATGAAATCGACCGTTGTATGTATTTTTAGTATATACTTTTATATTTCATGCTGTGAATTCTCTTTGCTTTAAACATGTATATAAATTATGTTTTGTGTCTTAGTTATTGTCTACTGCCCAATTAATGTGCGAAGTGCCATCAGATTTATATAACTGGTTCACTGCGTATTATATGCAACGAAAGAAATATAATGTGAAATCGCAGTTTGTTACAATACTCAAGTCCTGCTACTATATGATAAAGTGTTTTTTGAACACTATAAACACATTTTTATCGAATCTAGAAAACTTGTGTCCTCCTATTTGTGACTCATCAGTTGAATGTACCTGCTTTCTAGTTTTTATGTTCATATTAAAATCCGGACTCAAGATCTTTGTCTTCAAACGCCAACATGTTATTCAATTCATCTACATCCAGCTAACAAGTCTCGATCAAGAAAACACATGCATCCCGAATTCCTCTACTAGCAATTATTGATCTTTAATAAAAACTTGTGACTAAATAGTAATATCGTGGTAATCCGCTTAGGATATATACATACTAAAAAAAGATTTATCACTTGTAGCTATTTACATCGAGAACGAGAAAGTACAACATTTTGTTTAATCAATTCTTTTTAATAACAGATAGTTTTTGGTTCACTATTTTTTTCTTTGTCATTACACTAAATAGTCGGCTAATTTGTTACAATCTTATAATTAGGTATAAAGTTGGGATGATTTACATATTTTATTGATTACGGGACATGTGTAACCTTTTGAAAACTAACTGTAGCATTAAATTTAATTGAATATCGATAGAAATAAACAATGCTAGGACCTATCAGTAAAGTGTATAGTTTTATACTTAAGAAGATTCATCTATGGGGCTGTAATATTTGTTTCATCCTAAAATGCATTTCAAAAAGTTTCATTTCCCGTTTTATATTCATAGAATTCAAACCCCACAAATGAAAATCCCAATCAAATTTCAGTAGAATCGGGTTACATTTTAAACACGAATTCTAGAAATCATGACATTTCAACCATTGGAATTAATTTAACACGTAAGTAAATGGGAAGTTATCAACTTCCAATAGTTTTGTTTTATCCTACTTTTCAAGTTGTTTTAAATTATAATTCGTCTATGGTGTGATTTTTTCAGTGATTGCTGCGGCAAAGTTAATTTTTATCAGATTAATTAATTGCTTTATCGGCTAGATAATATCCTCTTGGTTCTTAAACAAAATATATGTGCTACTTATCCTTCATAACTGGTTTTATAACTTAATAGTGATTTTATCAAGTAGTAGTTTTTGTTCAGATATTGGTAAACACATATTGTGGATGCTCATGTTTCTTGTGTTGAAAATGTATGTAATGTTACATTCATTATTGCCTTTCAAATGATTTGTGTGGAAAATTTACCAAGATGAATACGATACTTATAGTTTCGATGTTCTTAATACTTTTATTGCGTAAATACATCCTCTAATTTTCATCTATCAAGTGGGTAGCTCTTACAATCCGTACTAATCAGCATAATCGGTTGGTAACTTGTTATTTTTAATCATAAATTACCTAAAAGTTCAGAGAACAAACGTTTTTCTAGCTTTGTTGACCTTTAAACAAAACAAATCTCTTGAAACTTAGTATGTATCACTGGAGAAATTCCTTTGTAGCTATCAACTCCTGCGTGCGGAATCGCGGATGTTCACTGCTGAGGAGTCCCATACTAGAACGAAACGGCCGTTCAGTGCTTCCAGGTTTTCAATTGTGGTCTAACATTGGTTGATTCATAATCTCAAATAAAAAAATTTTATTACTGTTGATTCATGACATTTTAACCACAGATCTAACTTCATTTCATTTCAATATGAATAAATAGTTATTATTGTGCCAGGTCATTTAAAAGGGATAACTAGGTTAAGTCTTCGATTAAGAATATAAGTTCAAATGTAAAGTGGATGATATCAAATTAATCTATACAATTAGAAATTCATTTACATAGTGTAGTTTATTTCAAGGGTTAATCAGCTTTATTTGCTTATGTATTCTTATTTTATTCAGATCCTCTAAAATCTGAACCTGGTGTGAACGCTTTGCACTCTCTTGATAGTTCTTTAAAGTCAAATAATGGTACCGCTTCTTTTGTTGACATTTATGATGATATGTAAGTGCCTTACTTCGGAATTGTTCATTGGTTGTAACTTTTCTTTCTATAGATTTACTTAAAACACGATTACGTGCTGATGAAGTTCAGCCACTAGAAATGTACTACATTTGTGAGAATAGTTGTATATTACGTGGTTTATCGGCTTCAATGATTGGTAAGAACTAGAGTATTTATCTACAAAGCACATGTTTATATAACCAACTTTAAGCTGCCCTGTTTTTGCGAAGGTCAGTAATACAAATCAGCTATCCGAACAGAAGTAGGTGGAATGGAGTTTGATATTACGAGCTACTGGTTGAAAGCTGCCTGATTTAACTACTAAATCACCGCTTTTTTAAAATATGGTATTGATTGTTATCACATAACTAATTTATTTATACATAGTCGCAGAAGTCGGATATTTCTGGATTGATTAGTCTATCGGAAACATTCCTGACTGTTTTTTTTTGGGAACGTGAGTCTCTGTTAGATTGGAGATTTATGCTACCCGTGGTTTACAACCATTCATTTAACCTGGTTTTAGAGGGATTCTTATTGATCACTACCGAAAAGCATATGACATTTTAGCGTCGAATAGGTCCCAAGCACTTTTCATTTTGCGAATTTATGCTTTTATTCTTAGTAAATAAACATCATTTGAAAGAATCTGAATTGTTCAACTATTACAGACTTTTGGCGTACAAACGCAAGAGTTCAAGCTATAGAACTAGAAAACGCAGGGTTTTCAGTGATAACAATTTTATTGAAATCGTACACATTTATTATAACCATGTATTTTCAAGTTTTACTAAACGAATCGTTTCTACTGTTTGACATTATTAGATTTTCTAAACCTGCTTTTAGCCATTTCAGTTAAAATCTCTTTTGGAAGTAAAACACTTAACGTCTATCAGCACATAATAACTTGGACCGAATAAATTAAGACAAAACTGTTCTAACTTAAATATTTGTTTAGAATAAATATTTGATTATAATCATTCAAATTAACGTAACCTTTTTTCTATTGTAGCGTAGATTATGAAACGGCTTTAGAATCAACTCCTGCTATGGGCACTGGTGATGATGTTGAAGAAATTGGTATGTTGTATTTCTATTATTACTACCAATTTTATTTTTCTTAGCGTCTTATCATATCCAGTTCTGTAGGTTTAATCAATACTAACTGTCTAATCAATTGATTGTCAAACTTTTTAATCGATGTGTAAACGCTATTTTCTCTTAATTATGTCGATATATGCATTTCTGGTTTAATAGAAAGTTCAAATACAGGGAATTATATTTTAATAAATATTTTTCTTCTATAGGTATCATTACCAAGGTTTGTCTTGATAATTTCGAATAAGTTGAGAATCGGGTAGATTGTTATAAATAAAATAATATATTTGCAATATCCCAATGAGTAGAGAAATTAGATTTTCCAATGTTTCGTGACTCAGTGTAAGCCACTTCAGAGGATAAATAACCAAGTTTAAACTTGGAATAATTTTGATTTTGTTATTCTCTGGAGAAGTGGCTTACACTAAGTCACGGAAAATCTAATTTTCCTACTCATTGGAATATTACAAATATATTAATTAATTTATCTTTCTTCTATTTTTGTCTTTATTTATGAAAAAAAGTTGGATGTAAAATGTACTTTGTCTCATTTATGTATTCTCTTAGCGTTTAACTACTATATTGGATGTTTAAAACAAATGGACTAGTAACAATGACGTATTGGACTATTTGGAAATGAGAACATTATCCACTTGACATAGCTGATTGTTCAAGCACCTCTTGAGTAAAAGTAGACGTAATTGGTTTAAAAATTTATTATCTGAGCAAAATGAAGAATCTAGTGATAAGTTACAACAAAGTAATGTTTTATTGTAGTTTCCAATTTCTAGCCAACAAAATTTAGATTTCAAAGAATGTTTAAATCAAAATTCGAATCCCCAAGTAATACAGATCATTATATATGTATATCTTACAACATACTATTCAATACTAGAATTTACAAACAATCAGGAGATCGATCAAGGCTGCGTATACGAACTTGTGTATTTATCGAATTTCGCTTAAAAAATATATGTAAATAGTTTTTTGTTATTCAATTATTCAAGATAAATATTTCCAATCAATAACAGTATCCATATTGTATGTTGATTTCCTCCGGTTTCAGAATCTCTTGATGTTTGTGAACCTTCTGTAGGTGGGTAAATATTGACATTATTTATTACCACGCACCTGTGTCTGTTAATCACCAATATTATCGGTGCACTCATAATCTAAGCTTAACATTCACATTATACGTATTTTTAACTAGTTCAACTGTTATTGGGACTTAAAATATTCCGTTTCCATTTACGTAACTACACATTATTCAGTGGTTTATATGTCACTCATTGTTTGGTAACTAATTATTTTCTCAATTAACTCGTGTTTTAGAAAAAGAACGCTACTTTTTTACGTTTTCGTTGTAAAAAATACAACTGATTCACAATTTTTTTCATCAAACTTTTTTGTTTAGTTTGCCTTTTCAAGATATTGTTACACAAAGATGTGTGTGCGTGATTCGATTGCTAGTTAATATTAAAAATGAGTGAATATGTATTAGGAAATTGACACATTCAATTTAGTATATAAATACTAGTTTGAAGATCAATAATCTTAACATCTGTTCCTTTGGTTGGTTTCTTCCAAATGTGATAGGTGATCATTCGTTTACAGTAGACTTATCTTTCTAGTTCGTTTCCAAAGTGAAAAGAGGTCTACTGAAGTTAAAGTGCTTTCTTTACATCCCTAAAGCTAGTCATACATATATCACATTATAACACCATATCAGGCCCATATAACTTATTCTAGTTTCTGGAAAGGCCAATTTATTCATTCTTCTTGAGTCATGTTTTGATCTTGTTAATTATTTGCTTATCAACCTTGACTGTTTTTATATGATCGTGTGTGTGTGCATTTCTTATCTCACTCATCAGATTTCTTGTAACTTATTTTTGTGTGACTAGAAATATTGAGTAACGATTAGTTAAATTGAGTTAGCTAACATGCCTTTTCCGATCTGTTTCACTTCTCTTTCTTCTCTTCGCTTCTTTCGTTCCAACTCTCTGATTGTCTGTTCTGATCAACCACTGTACAAAATATTTATATTCAAAAGTTCATTCTCATATTTGACCTATTTTTAATTCCATTATTCACCAACGCAAGTCAAGTCGATTATTATATACGAGAATTGGTTCACGAAACCGCAGATATAGAGCAGAGAATCGTCAGTATGGTTATTTTGTACCTAGTTTCTGTTTTTCCGATTTCCGTTTTCATGTGAAGATATATTTTAAGAGCATTCCACCATTTGAGTCCAGGCTTGAAATGCAGAGGAAGGACGCCAGGTGGCACATCAGCGATGACTGTACCGAAAGTTAGTGCTAGCCAGAAACAGGTTGTGGTCTGTGCACAGTTGCAGTAGACGGTCCCCGTTATCTGTCCTGCGACTAACAAGTCCCCATCGGTCACCTAAACGATTCTCTTCTGTGCCTAGACGCACGACCTGAGCATTCAAGTCTCCGGCTAGTACTACAATATCTGTCGAACGCACTTTCTGGAGAAGAACAGATAACTGGTGGTAAAACTCATCCTTGATTGCATCCGGGCTGCAATCTGTCGGGGCATAGGCGGAGATGACGAAAAGACATCGTTTCTCACGCCGATTTCTTCTCACTTTGATGGAACCCTCTAATCTAACAGCACATAACCGACTGTTGATGGGAGTCCAGTCGATTAATGCTGCCTCAGCTCTAGCGCTTAGTGCGACACCAACACCAGCAAGACCAGACGAAGATGCCACGAGGTCCCCGGATAAGCGCACGTAAAACAAGCTTTTCGAAGCGACAGATGGAGTAGGAAAAAAAGAGGGTGAATAATAGGGGACTTCCCTGGAAGAGGCTGCATACGCGGGAAGTCCTACTCACTGCCTTCTCGTGGCGGAGGTGTGGTTTACGAAAATGAGAGGACGAAAAGCGAATGTCCGGCGATTTAACCGGATCCCGAACCAATGGTGCACATGGGCTCCAGTATCCTGAGGGAACGAATCGCTTATGAACCAATTTTCGGTCACCGGCTTCCATGGGACTGCATCTGCTTACGATGCTCCATTGCCTTGTGGGTTAGACCTCTAGGTCAAAGGCTCGGGGTGTGGCCCCCTAAGATAATCATCTGGTTCGGTCTGGGCATCCAGGCAGTATCACAGCCCACACACAAATGATGAACTATCTATAGCTGTCTATATTTATGGAAACTACTTTTCTTGCTTCGACTAACAATCAAATGATTCAAATTATTATTATTATTTACTACGTCATGATTCACCCTCTTTTGTTCCTACTCTGTCTATACTTATTTTTTCGACTTATACAGCAGCTCGTCTATGATGGAAATTCGACTCTATCTAAACGCTCTCGACTCACTGTCCGGTTGAAAATAGTATATTACGACCGAATATGAGTACTGAAGCAGTTTTTCTGAAACCACGTGCACCATTCAAACTGGCTGCCTTCAACGTTCGCACACTTATGTAGGTTGGACAACAGATAGGGCTGGCTATGTCTTTAGAAAGTCTTAATATCGATGTTTGCTGTTTATCCGAGACTCGTATTCAAGACTCTGGCGAAATACTACAAATTCGATCTCCATCTGTCGCTTCGAAAAGCTTGTTTTACGTGCGCTTATCCGAGGACCTCGTGGCATCTTCGTCTGGTCTTGCTGGTGTTGGTGTCGCACTAAGCGCTAGAGCTGAGGCAGCATTAATCGACTGGACTCCCATCAACAGTCGGTTATGTGCTGTTAGATTAGAGGGTTCCATCAAAGTGAGAAGAAATCGGCGTGAGAAACGATGTCTTTTCGTCATCTCCGCCTATGCCCCGACAGATTGCAGCCCGGATGCAATCAAGGATGAGTTTTACCACCAGTTATCTGTTCTTCTCCAGAAAGTGCGTTCGACAGATATTGTAGTACTAGCCGGAGACTTGAATGCTCAGGTCGTGCGTCTAGGCACAGAAGAGAATCGTTTAGGTGACCGATGGGGACTTGTTAGTCGCAGGACAGATAACGGGGACCGTCTACTGCAACTGTGCACAGACCACAACCTGTTTCTGGCTAGCACTAACTTTCGGTACAGTCATCGCTGATGTGCCACCTGGCGTCCTTCCTCTGCATTTCAAGCCTGGACTCAGATTGGTCACATCGCGATCAGCTACCGCTGGCGTGGTTGTGTAAAAGACTGCCGCTCCTTTTGGAGTACCCATCTCGACTCTGACCATGATTTGGTTTGCGCCAATCTCACCTTACTTTTCAGTGGCCAACGAAGTGACCGCCACCAAAAGATTGATGTTAGCAAGCTGGTTGCAACTTCTGTTGCAAGTAAGTATCGAACCGAGCTAGCTGCTAGGATAGCTACCATTCCACCGAAAAGTATAGATGAGCATTGGTTGCAATTGCATGACACGATGAAAATGGCGGGTACAGTCAGTTGTGCGTTCGCGAAACGTCCCGCTTATAAACACTGGGTTTCTTCTGGTTCCTTACAACTCATTGAAGCTCGTCGGTCTACTCCGGGTGACCGTGAGTTTGACCATGAACGAAGGATGTTATGTAAGGAAATTGGGCAAAGCTTGCGTAAGGACCGAGAAGCCTGGTGGTCGGTGCGTGCTAATGAGCTGGAAGCAGCAACTGCATCTGGTAATTACCAGAAGCTCTTTCAACTCATCCGAGCCACTGGCAGCCAGAAGTCTGGTGTGAGCGAAACAATCTACGAGGATGATGGGATGCCAATCACTAACATCCATCGACGCCTTGGACGATGGGCAGAATTTTTCGAAGGGCAGTTCAACTGACCTGTTGCTCCGGCAACACCGGCCAGACTGTCCTGCCCTCCATGGCCGGTGACGATTGATCCACCAAATGAGGCGGAAGTCCGCAAGGAACTCCAACTCTTGAAGCGTTACAAATCACCTGGCCCAGATGACTTACCTCCGGCTCTTTTTGAAGATGGTGGTGACTTTTCGACTACGGAAATGACGACGTTGTTTACA